TAAAGATAAAGATATTACGTAAAAACACAGTGTTAACTTCAGTCCCCTTGTTTACCAGCAGAAAAGACGGTTCGATTGATACAATCTTTTAAATTGTTCGGGGGTGGCCATACTATTCCAGTGATTCCTGCGATCCAAGGACTTCCGCGCCGCAAAAACGCGGAGCTTTGTCATCTGTTGCTTCGTAGGTCGGTAATGGATGAATGCCAAGATTTTAGGAAGCCTAGGAATTGCAGGAATTACAGGTATTACAGGAATCAGAGAAATCACTGGAATAGTATGGCCGCTCTCTTCCCATTGTAATCGCTTTCTAAAGTCACTATGGTGAAGGCGTGACGTTACCATGTATCATTTCTAGGTTGTTCTCGAATACAAAACACCATCTGGCGAAATGGTGAAGTTGAAAGCACCAATCGAAGGTGTTGTTACGTTTGATCGCGCAGCAAAGAAAGGAGCGGAGATGGTCCAAGTGAGTTGTGCTCGAATTTTTATTACTCACCATACCCATTCTTCCTCTCAGGACATGCTTGTCGCTCGAATAGAACCTTGTCAACATGCCATCGTTATCAAAGATATGTGTGCTACATGTGGTCGTGATCTTAGAGAGTAAGTAGCCATGAAACTCTTTGCCTATCTTTTATTTTAATCTTGGTGCATTCATCTTGGATGCTATTGCCAATCCTCTATACGTTTGACACTTATTTTGTCAGGAAGAACGGAAGAGCAGGACAGAGGCGAGAGGATTCTACTGCTAATGTATCGATGATCCATCATGTACCGGAGCTTATTGTATCTGACGACGTGGGTGAACTATAATGACCTTTTTTCACTTTTGGTGCATTCGTCCTTATTTCAGCTGGCAAAACAGATTGGCTCTGCCGACTTCAAAAATGTCCTTTCATCTCGCAAGCTAGTATTGTTAGTGGACCTTGACCAGACCATCATTCATACCACTAATCGCCCATTTAAAATCGATCCAAATGTGGTAAGTAACTTAGCTCAGATTTCAGGAGTAGCCGTAGATGCGAAAATTTTTCTTTTATTCTTACAGCATCATGACATCCACACATACATGATGTTTGGGACGGAATATCATACAAAATTAAGACCCTACACTCGTGAATTTCT